AGTGTTGTTTATGATAGCAAGAAATTGTGAATAGAGAGATTTTCATCAATATGGGGTATTTTAAATAAGCTATGATGCATTATACAATGGAATACTATGCAGCCATTATAAAGGTTGACATGGACCTATATTTATTAACAGAAAGATATCCTTAATACATGGTTTAGTTTTAGACACTAAAATACAAAAATAAAACTTGAATCTATTTTGTTGAAAATTTAGTTGTGGATATGTGAATTAAAAAATTCTGAAAGCCTACACTAAATTAGCAGTGAGTAGGGTGATGTAATGGATACTTTTTACTTGTTTGCCTTTCAGTATAGTAAGAAACTTTTATAAGAGAATATATTACTTTTATATTATTACTTTAGCAAAAAAACATTTTCTTATGGAAATTTATTTCTATTAATTACATTGACAGATGAGCTACAAAATTTAAGTTTTATTGTAATTACTGCAGCTATAGAAAAAGAAGATCACTTATTAAGCACAGTTTAAGGACAAACAAGTCACCCAAGTTAAAATCCGAAATGACGCCTTTTCCTGTCTCTTCATTGTTGAAAGGGAAAAAAGTCCCTGAGAGGCCATTATACCTCTTGGTAAGACAATTCCCTTTTATCAGGAGCCAGGATCATATAATTATCAGGGATTTAAAAAACTGGACTTGATTTGATTACTTCCCGCTAAGTGATTTTATGTGGCCACTATTTTTTTGATTATTTATTTTATTATAATCTATTGTTTAATGTCACAGCTGGAGTTCATATTATTTCAATAAATTACCCATTTTGCTAACCAAAATAGTTACAAGAAAAGGAAGCATATATGTACATTTTTAAACATAGTTTAAAATTATCTATCTACTTCTGGACTTGCTCAGGGGCACGCAGGCCAGTGGAAGGTCTAATGAATGTCAAAAAACCCTCCTTCCCCTTCCTTTTGGCTTTGATATTATCTGTGGCCACAGCTCTGTCATCTTGAGCAGGGCATTTAACCCTACAACCCTCGGTTTCCTTTTTAATAAAATGCATGTCATGCTGCTCCCTCAGTAGATGTATCAGCTGTGCAGATGGAATCGACACCTTCAAGTTTTGGGAGGAATAAATGAGGCAGAGCTTCTAAAATGCTTAGCACAGTCGGCCCAAGAAAAAGTGCTCAGTACCGGTAGCTCATAAACTTAATATCTCTGCTTCACTTCCCTGAGATGTGCAAATAATCTGTTCACAGTGCTCTTTGTAAGCAAGCCACCCATTGAACTGTTTCTAGTGCTCTGGGCTAGGTGATAACCCGTCTGTGGTTATGACAGTCGCTGGTAATCAAAGGGCCACAGACACAATATGCTTTGAAATAGTAAAAATACTGCTAATGAGAAAAACCACTTCCTAATTTATCTGCAACGTGTAGCGTATTTGCTGTGTGTTCTGTCCAACCACTGAGCCTGCAGAAAGCACCCGGCTCATTCCACTCAGCTGCCGTCTACTCACCCTCTCCAGGCCCCTCTTCAGCACCACCAGGGGCCTGCTAGCTGTCCTCCTGCAGGGCTCACACCAGAGCCTGTGTATGTGCTGCCTCTTCAGGGCCTTTCATTATCTTTCTATGCCCGACCCTCCACTGGTCTCTGAGCTCCTGCAGGCCGGGGCTTGTCTCACTCACCTCTGAGCCTCCAGGGTGCAGCCTAGATGGTTGTTCCCAGCAGGTCCCCGCAAACACATGTAGGACGAGTCAAGGCACCCGGGAGGGGCTAGTGGACATAGACACGGACATGCAGAGTGTGTCCTGAGAATCCAAGTCCCATTCAAGGCAACGCAGGTGGACAGCTGTGAAAGTTCATATACTGAGGCCTTTGCCAAAATAACTAATTCCCTGGCCTTTCCGCCCCTTTCAACAACTGGAGAGCAGAGATAGAGAAAAGAAACACTTGATCAGGAATGCAGACCAGTTTAAACAGAATTTCAGTAGGAAGAGTTAGCAGCTCATGAAACTTGTACAATATCAGATCCTTCCTAAGGCTATGTGGGGACAGCTGACATCTTTGTCCACGTCGGTCTCAGCCATCTGGGGAGAGACAGACACTCAGGCCAAAAGGATTTCCTTTCTTGGGAAGTTGTGATAAGGCCACTTAAGCTGTGGAAGGTTGAATTTATCATTCATTCCTCATATTCATATTGTACCTATATCTATACTTATATCTACTTATATATCGGGTTTCTTTTTCCATTCTAACTTGAGCCTAAATATAATTTAAAACATCAGAAGAGTTTATGATCTATTATTATCAAGTGAAAAAAGCATTGTACTGAATATACAATTTGATCCTAATTCTGTTGGTGACAGTATCACGAGTGATTTTATTTCCTTTCTTTGTGTTTTTCTGAAAAATTTAAAAAACAAACATGTGTTCATGTGTTATATTAACAATCAGGGGGGAAAGCTATATTTTTTTAAGTTCTAACTGATCATCCTACAGCTTACAATGCAGAAAGTTCTCTAGTCTTCTCTGAGTGGAGGGGCCAGCTGTGCAGGGAGCCTCTCTGAGGAATGGATTAACTGCCTTCTGTTTGCCACAATGACAGGTGGTGCAGTCTGTCCCCCCTGCAGCCTCCCAGAAGGCCCCCAGCCACTGTGGCCACAGAAAGCTCCTGGGCTGCTCCCCTCAAGGGCCTGGAATGTTCTCCCCACCCAGTGTGGTCATGCTTACTACAGGAAGACCTCAGCTCTAAGCCACCACCAGGGGAGGCTTCCTCAGGCCAAGCTCCCATCATGCCTTTCCTTGACCACATTTTTTGCTTCCTGCATTTACTGGTATGTTTTTCTTAAATATCTTAATGTCCCCTCCACCTCCCCACAAATAAAACAGCCTTGGGCACCCCTCCCCTGGCGGTTTTGCTCATTCCTGAATCCTTAGCGCTAACACCCTGCCTGGGGCCTTGACGGGACTTAAACATTCCTTGTGTCTAGACTGCACCACGTAATAAGATAAGTAGATCGCAGGGGAGGTGGAGGGAGCCTTGCACTGAGCGCCCCCGGAGCCAGCGATCTCGCCCAGGAACTTGCACCTGGTCATGGGTGACGCTCTCTGCTGGGCCCTGCAGGGGAAGTGAGACTCCCACGGAGGGCCCTGCCCTGGGGATCTGCGGTGTCCCATGAAGAGAGGAGGAGACGTGACACAGATGACCCCCTGATGAAATGATGTTGGAACTGTAGGTTTAACGGCCACATAATCGGAAACGACGTAAGCTCCCTGCACAGAGGACATCCACACGAGCAAATGGCCTTCAGCCCGAACAGCTTCGAAACAAAGTCAAGCGGTGTTTTCCTCCCATGTCTATTCCTGGGAACCCTTTGCTACTTCCCTTCAAATCCCGAAAATTTAATATCTGACTTAAAACACATTATCAGTTAGAGCCTATGGTCCACCCAGCACCTTCCCTCACACCCGTCTGAGGCAGCAGGAAGGGGAAAGGAGGCAGCGCCCAGAAGAGGGGCTGGAGTTGAAAATGAGAGCAGAGGAAAGGGCGGCGATGCGCCCGAGCCCAGCCCGCCAGGCATCGCCCCGAGCACCAGACATGCAAATCCTCTTAGCTGTCCTAACACTCCAACTTGGTGACTGCTGGTGACTAGTGTCCTCGTTTGAGAGCACAGCTCAGGGGACTGAGTCACAGGAGGGTAGTGAGTGGCCCAGGTCACACAGCTGGTGGGTGGTGGAGCCGGGCAGTCTGGGCCCAGGGCCCGGCCTGACCCCGGTTTGTGGTGCCTCCAGGTCCCCATCCTTTCCTGTCTCGCAGCACCCCTGTCCCTCTTCCCTCATCGCTTCATCACCATCCCCTCCACCAGGCTTTCCCTTTCTGCTATGTAACCTATTCCCTTCCTCTTGACACCAAATTCCTCAGTGCAGGTGCAGCCCCAAGCTGCTTAAACCATTGTCATCTTTGGGCTCCCCTCCAGGTCTTTCCATTCGCTCCCTTTTTAATCCATCCACAGGATGCCCACTTACGAGCTGTAACAGTCGCGGAGGAAGTGGGGGTAACACCCACGGCTGCACAACCAGGGTTCCAAGGCGATACACAGGAGTTACGGCTCTGACTCGACACTTGCTTTGGTGGTCTGATCGCAGACCTGAAGAGTGATCACGACGGCCAGCTGTGCGCCAGACTCCGTCCAAGCACCCTCCACGGGTTAGCCCAGTCACTCGCACAGCAACGCCCTGCAAGGCGAGTTCTGTGGCTACCGTTCTGCCTCACAGCTGGGTAAACAGAGGCACGAGAGTCTCTGCCTCAGGGAGAGCCACACTTCAGCCAGGGTGGTCTCGGCAGCCGGATCCCAGGGCCCAGGCTTCCACACTGCGCTACACGGCCTTTCACTCCCATGCGCCAACCCTTCCAATTTTACACTTTTTTCTGTCATAAGAAGCAGAAGTTCCTTCTTAATAAGGACCCATATCTGTTTTATATTTTATTTGAAAACTGTTCCCAACAATCTCCCCCACCCAGCATTGCCAGAAAGCCCTCAGTGACGTTTCCTCTCTTACCTAATTATTTGAGCAGTTGTTTTTGCTCCCTCCCCTTGGAAAGGCTGCTGGAAGAGAAGGCAGGCTCTGGGAGTTCACTGGAAAATGGACACGGGGACTTTACAATCAGGACAATGCATGTTTTCCAAATATGTGCCCTTACATTGGGGCACATGTCATAATCCAAGGGACCTGACCCCGGGGTGAGGTATGCCCCACACTGCTCAGCCTGGGACGTCCAGCAGTGAGTCACACTTACTTGTCTCCCGAGCACCTCGGGAAGTAGGGGACCCCCCCTCGCTCCCTGTGACTGTTTTTTCCCATCTGCCAGCAGTGCTCCCTGTTATCAGCATCTTCACTTCGTGGGAAAGGCTGTGGTGAACTTCTGGCAAGTGAGTAGGAAGTTTGCTCAGCACCGAGGGGGCAGCGAGGCTATAAGAGCACAAGCCGCCTGGGCTGGGCAGAGACAGAAGACCGGGAGGCGAGGCGCACAGGAGATGGTAAGTTCCTGTCTCTTTCTTATGGGCAGCGGGTGAGTACAGGGCAGGACAGGGTTCAGAAAATGAGGAATAGCTGGACTAGCCCTTTAGCTTTTGCAAGCATTTCAGAGCCTGCTGTCGTCTTGACCCTCCCAGCACCCTGTGAGCTGAGGTTATTTCCAAGTTCTAATGACCCCGCGATGCTGGACAGAGCTGGGGTTTCACCTAAGGCAGCCTGTTAGGCCTGGCACCATCTGCCTCTGGACTCCAGGCCTCTGGTGTCCAAGAGGGCTCGTGGGTACCCTCGGAGCAGGCCTTGATCCCCGGGCCCCTTCTCCAGGGATGCTCTCCTCTCTGGGTCGAACGCAGGGCTGAGCAGGTGCTCGGGACAAGCCTACGGTTGATGGGCTTCCCATCCCCAGCCCCCCAATTTCTTTCTCTGAGCCCTCGGAGTCTGCCAGGGCTGGTGGGGAGTGTCCACGTGGTTTCCATTTCTGCCTTAAGTCTCAGTGCTGCTGGGGACTCAGTTTCCTCATCTGTAGAATGATCAAATAGTATTCTACTTAACAGTGTCACAGTGAGAGCAAAACAAGGTTACACCGAGAGCATGTAGCTCTGAGTGTGGCACAGTTACTGGCTGGGAAACGCTCACTATCATTGTTATGAGAAAGGGAAAATTCCTGGGTTCAGTGCTGTTTGGGGCCCAGGGAAGATGGAAAGGAAGGGACATACTTGAATTCATGAGCATTAGCCAGATAAGACACGTGTGGGGAGACACAGGCAGGTTTTACCCCAGCTCACCAGGAGCATCTCACGCAGGCCCAGAGCTGAATCTTAGTCTGTGGCTAAATCCTTGCGATTCGGATGAAAGAAGTCCTCTTCCCAGATAAAACTGAAAACATCCACATAAACACCGAGCTTCCTGTAAAACCGTAGCAGGGTCCCCAACCTCCACGCGGGGCTCAGGTTGAGAGCCCCACTCTGTCGCCATCAGCTCCGTGTGGCCCCCTCGGCTGAGCCTGGAAGCCTGCGGTGCAGTGCAGACGCCCGAGCCCTGGGACTGCTTCAGACATTAAAAGAGAAGACCTCTTCCTTTGCTCTTGAGCACATTTGACCTTCAGGGATTCAGGAAGCTCAAACCCTGTGTGTAATTTGGCTCAAGTTCAGAGAGAGGCTTCAATTAACCTCTAGGACCCGAGGAAAGGGGTTAAGGTTCACCAGTGGGGCACTTTCAGCAGGTAGAGCTCGGAGGAGAGCTCCTGATGGAAACTCACAGGAAGATGGTGCCGGTGTCAGACAGGGTTAAGGGGCTAAGGGGCCGATTCTCTTCCACTCAGACCTTTAACCAGCTCAGGTCTGTAGCATCTACTTCTTACTCTTCCTTCCATTACTTGTGTTTCAAAATGAAGCTAAATGGTCCACACTCTCCCGGGCCTGTCACTGACCCTTAGAAGGTCCAGCTTCAGAGCTCCGCAAGTGGAAGCTCATCACCCAAACCCTCCAAGATCAGAGGACTCACTATGGCCCTCGCAGGTTTGCTCAGTGGTTAGAGCATCGGCTCTCGGTCTGGAGAGTCCTGGGTTCTATCCTGGCCAAGGGCAGGTAGCTCGGTTACAGGCTCGATCCCTGGTCCCTGCCGGGGTCGGGGCACGTGCGAGAGGCAACCAGTTGATATGTCTCTCACATGGATGTTCCCCTCTCTCTCTCTCTCCCCTTTCTACTCTTTCTGAAAAGCAATGGAAAAAATATCCTCGGGTAAGGATTTCAAAAAATAAAACAAAAAATCCCAAAAGGACTTACTAGGGATCAGATGGTGCTGAGAAGACCCTGGACCTCCCCTAGAGAGGAGGCACATGGTAGTTTCATAAACGACACTAGCTCCCCTGATCAAAAAGCAAAACAGAAATTTTATAATATTAAGTACAAAACAAATTCTTTAATTTGTAGGGAGATAGCTTAGTCATTATCCAACAGACTTTTAAAATTTTTTAGTCATGTTACTTTATTTCTAATGCTAATACTTCACCTTAAGTAATGGTGGCCAGTTGTCTAATGAAAAGATGTGCTTTGATTTTTGGGGGTGATGTCCTGGTTTTCCCCCTGTTCCTATTTCTAACTTGCTGTTCAGCTCAGAGACCTTTTTCCACTGTGTTTCATTTTCTATCCTTTATGTGGGACTCCACCACCGCCACCACCCAGAAGCTTACGGGAAATAAGAGTCTATCAGCTGTGAGCCTTGTGAAATCTGGACACTGCCACCAACAAGTCACATAGTTCTGCCTCCTCAGTGACTGTCACATCTTCCTCCCCTCTGCATTCCCGCTGACCCCAGCCCAAGCCAGGCCCTCTTCAACTCTTCAAGACCACGCAGGCTCTTGTCTGTGTGACTCAGTGGTGGAGCACCCGCCCCTGCCCCGAGAGGGTGCTGGTGCAATTCCGGTGATGGCGCAGGCCCAGGTTGCAGGCTTGATCCCCAGCGGGGACCCTGTATCTCTCTTTCTTGCCCTTCGACTATGACAGTGGCCTCCTCCTTTTACAGCTCGGCCTCGCTGCTCCGCATTCATCACAAGCACCATCGTCAGATGCACATGTTCGGGTTGCTTCTCTGATCAGAACCCTGGCCATTGGGTTCTGGCCCCAATTCACCCTCCAGGTCCCTTTCAGTTACCCTCCAGGACCTTCCTGCTCCAGCAGCAGTCCAGCCACATCACTGCATCACTGCCTCTCCTAACCAGCCATCCCCCCTCCCCCATCTCTCCTCACCCTGGCTTCTCATCTCACTTAGAACAAAATCTCACCAGCTCCCCCCCCCCC